GAAAGAGGCTGAGCTTCAGCTCTGCCCTAGAGAGTAAGAGATGTTGGGCCGGGGGGCCTGAAGAATGTAGAGAAGATGACTCCTTTGAGTGTTTTTTTTAAAAAAATTATTTTTAAAATTTAACTAGAGAAAGGGAAAAATTGAGAAAGCAAGTCACCAGGTCCAGAACTTGAACCATGGTCAGCTATATGGGTGTCCAGCACCCTTAACCACTGCGCCACCTGCCAGCCCTACCCTTTGAGCTTTTTACTGTGAGGGAAAGGGTTGCGAGCAGCTCCATTTGGGAGCAGGCAGGGTCCACTTAGGTACCACCATTTAGAGGGCGGGTACTCTGGGCCAGAGCTCTCCTTTATGGTCTGTTACCTACCAGCTGCTGCGGGTGTTCTGAAGGGCTGTGACTAGTAGCCCTCTGGGTACAGGTCAGTGCATTTTCCACCACGTGGTCATCAAGGCCCTTAAAGCTTTGAGTTACCTCAATTGACGGAAATCTCTGCGTGGTACCTGAACAAATTCTAGCGCTTTCTGATTTGCCGGCACCATCGTTCTGAGTGCTGCCAGACTCCTTTCCTGTTCCCCCAGGGCAGTTGGCAGAACTCTTACAAGTTGACCGCCCGGAGTGCTGGGGTGATCAAGGAACTGGATATTGTCCTTTTCTCTGAGTGCCACTCCCTCATCTCGAGGTGCAGAAACGGTCATCTGCATTAGGATACCATTTTTGTGTCCCTAGTTACCGGTTTGGGGTCAGATTTGAATCTCCAGAACCAAACTTAATAATAAATGAACTGTGGCCTTGGGGGAGGACCTGGACTCACGTCTGGGAGGCGGACAGCGGTAATTCAGAACCAGAAACTTACCAGCATCAAACTTTCAAATGACACAATTTAAATAGAAACACATTAAATGAGAGAGTGAGTTGGTGCAGGAACATTTGCTTCCGTTTTAATGTAACAGGAAGGCGAATGGAAACCCTCATTGTCACATCTGCGGTGGGCTCAGGATTGGCCCCTCTGGGCCAGTGGCAGCGCTGTCTCCGGTGCGGGGTGGGAGAGCCAGTCGCTGTGCGTGGAGTAGCCCCCCAACTGTCCCCGCCCCTCTGGCCTGGATTTCTGAGACCTGCCCAGGTTGCAGGCGTTTACCTGGGATGAGTAACCGAGGCCCGGAGGTCCTGGTGGGGCCTGCCCAGGGCCTTCTCTCCGGAGCTGCCCGGCTTGTCCCCCTGGGACCAGGATGTTAAAGGGAAGGAGGCGCCCGCAGCCCGGCCTCCGTGGACAG